CAACCACAATGGAAACAAATTAAATAATGAGACTCTAATATTATTCTAAAATTAATAATGAAGAAATGGAGTAAATCAGAAAGTTTTCTATTCTTTTAAAAATAATAAGCATTCTCTGAAAACTATAGCTCTCTCTGATACCACAGTAATTCAGAAGACCACTCTCCATGGGCATATTATGAATGTGAGTTTCTCCTGCACAAGTCTGTTCAGGGTTGTGGCAGTGACTTTCCGTGGCACTGGGCGAAGAGGAGCAATAAGAAGCACTCTGCAGCAAACAGAGTATCTGCATAACTACAGATTTCTCTCCTTCTTCTGGAGATAATCTCTAATGTTCACAAAAGAAATAATGTCAAGGAACACACTTTCATATGCCATGCACACTAAAAACTGTTTGAATACCTTAAAGGATCTCCTCATTGCCACAAACCACGCTGATAAGACTAACATGGAAATCATTTCCTTGACTTGTTTTTTCCCTAAGAAAATGCTTTGTAAACACAATGTAATACCATAAAGGCAAGAAAACCACCAAGAAAAAACTCTTAATTGTGTATTCCTGATTGCATTCAGTCTCTTAATAGAAGGTAGCCTCTTACAGAATTATGTTAGCTACTATAACCAGCTAAATAATTCAAATAAGACATAAATCAAGAAATCTATTTTCAAATAAAGGAAAAGAAAGTCACCAAAAAAGATCTATGGCAGTACCACATCTGATGAAAACAGAATAAAAACAATATCCAGAAATTCTTAATAATGGCTATGATGATGTCTTATCTTAGAATAATATTAGAGATTTATAACTAGTCAAATCTGGTTGTGCATATTTCCTAAGTTCAACAGTTAAAAGCTGATATTAACATTATAATAATCTTGACATAGTAAAATATTGAATCCTTCCAGTAAAAACTGTTAAAACACAACCCAGAAATGCAATGTATTATTTTTAAGACAGAAAACATTAATGTATTTCCAAATAAATCAGGGAGAATTTTTAACTATAAAGGAATGCAAAAATGTTAAGGGTCTTTTAAAGGGCAGAGAAAATGTTCCCTCTCAGGCAGTAATATCATTTGTTAGATGCTACATTAATAGCTAAAATATGTATTTTACATGTGTAGATATTCTGGGGGGAATGGGGTTACATTACTTATTTTGCATTTGACTCTGAATGAAGTTTTACAGCCCGAAAGTAGAATATTAAATGTAGCTTTTTAAAACCCAACTTAATCCATAAAGGAAAAGTGGAAACACAGCATAACAATTATGTATACACAATTCAATACAAATGTTAAAAAGCAATTTAACATGTGTGCTTCAATATAAGAATTCAAAAAATACTCAGTCCCACAAAACAGAAAGGCAGGATTTTTACACTAAATAGCCCCATCACAGTCATAGGAAACAGAACAGTATTCCCATTCCTTTCAATCTCAATCATCCAAGGCAAAAGATATTTAGGGGAAAAATACATTTTAAAGGAAATGAATTTATAAGAATCTAAAGAAGAAATATCTGAACATTTTAGGAGTTGACCATGTTAAACGTAAATCAATGTGGGTATTCTCACCATCACATTCTAAGTACAGTTCAGAAGAACTTGGGTCACACAGACATTTCAAGTAAGTTTATGCCAAGACATGCTAAAAGTGGTGATGATTTTAAAGTAATTCTCCTGTTAAGGCAAGTTCTTACACAAAATATGTGAACTGTTGCAAAATTTGTAAAATATCATAATTGTAAGAATAACTAATTCTAAGTATGATTTTGAAATATTTGCTTAACCAAGCCATATATCCTCTACATGGACTTTACCAGCTAATACAGCACAGTGTACCCAGCTGAAGAGATGCGGATCACATTGCTTAGAAATGTATTATTAACTATAGTCTCATTAGTTGAAGTGTATCATCTAATTTTCACTCTGGAGTTCCTGTGAAATATATGATCTTAAGTGTTATAAAAAATAATTCCTAAAAAAAAATTCCTATTACTACTTAAATATACAATGGAATACTTACATAAAAATAAGCAAATACATTAAATTAAGCATGCATATTTTGGGAGCTTCCACTGTGCAAGCTAACAGTATTACTGGCCATCTTGCATACCCCTCTGAAATACTACTTATCAATATTCCTTTTTCTAAGAGAATAATCAAACAATTCCGAATCTCCTTGAATTTACATGGCATCTTTGTATTATAGACTGCCATCTAAGAAACATCTCCTATTTCCTGCCCGTTAGACTAGTTTTGGGTTCACCACAACTGCTACCTCATTTTTGTTAAGGCAACTATGCTATATTTCAATGAGTAATAAAATCATAAAATTTTAAAATCAACCATTAAAAAGAATATTAACACCCCAAAGAGATGAGTCAATTAATCTTTTAAATCAAATATGGAATGATATTTTCAAAGAAGATGTGAGGAAAGTTTCTTTTACTTTTCTGCATTCAAAAATGTTCAGATGCAGGCTTTTCTACTAAAGGGGTGGATCTGAAAACCATGTAGCTCTAATTCAACTGATATTATGTTTTTGAACTATATTCTAAAACCAAAGTTAAACTCAATTTTTTTCCCCACGAAAACGGCTTTGCTTAATGTAGAAACTAGTAAAGAATCCCACCTACAATTCGGAACTTCTGAATAAAGATTTGGCAACCTGAAAAACAAGCACCTGAGTATAACTGGTCCTTACTGTCATTCAATACAGCAGCTGTTTGCTAGCCTAAATCAAGCTCTGCTTTCCTTTTTTTTAAACATCATTTGAGAAAAATAAACATCAAAAACAAAAAAAGCAACCACTCCTTCCCCCAAAAAGAAGTCCAGGTTCTCTTTAGATAACTATGAGAACTATGTAAGTTGCTTGGCGTATTTGTATTGCTTTACTTGGAATTTTAACTTCTTGACATTAATGTTAGAGAAGTTTTATTTTATTATCACAGCTCTGGAAGAACAGACTAGGCCTAGTTTCCCACTGCTATACAAGCTGAACCCTCAGGGCTCTGTGTCTAAGAATCAGGATTTATTCCTCCCACCTCCACCCATTCTCCAAAAGGCCCCATGACTCTGGCTGGGAAAGACTGTGGCAACAAGTTTCCATCCACTATTAACTTTTGCAGCTGCTCCATGAAGCAGAGAGAGTAGTTGATTTTAAATTAAAACAAAGTATTTTGAAGATATGCATAATGAAAGACCTTCACTTACAGGAAAAAAGTTTAAAAACTATATATGTAACTTGCTCATTCACATCAAGTGAGCGCATTTCATCAAAACACTTGGTATGCAGAAAGGCACAATATATCAAATAGCTAACCTAGCTCCTGAAAAAGAAAAAAAAAATTAAATTAAAAGACTATAATAACAAGAGAGGGTTCCTCCCTTAACAAATCATTTCAAGAATTTTAAATTGGAAGATTAGTTTTTCAATAAGGAAATCTTAGGTAATTTCAATTACTGAGTATAGTGGATTGAATGGTGGCCCCAAAGATATGTCCACATTCTAATCCCCGAAACCTATAGATATTACCTTATATGACAAAAGATGTGATTAAGGACCTTGAGAGTAGAAACATATCCTGGATTATGAGATAAATCCTAAATGCAATCATATGTATCACTGTAAGAGAGAGGTAGAGGGAGTTTCGAGAGACAGACACATGGAGGATAAGGTGGTATGAACATGGAGCAGAGAGATGCAGCCACAAGCCAATGAGTGCCAAGGGCCACCAGAAGCTGCGAGAGGCAAGGACGGTTTCTCCCTTAAGGTCTCTGGAGGGAGCACGGCCCTGCCTACATCCTGATTTCAAACATGTGGCTTCCAGAATTCAACTGTGAGAGAATGAGCCTCTGCTGTTTTACCACCAAAGTTGTTGCAATCTGTTACAGCAGCCACAGGACACTAATACACTGAGGGAAATTGTGTATTAAAAGAGTAGTCCTTAACCCACACAAACTTAGGAAAAGGGAAACCCTATATTATAAATAAAATATATCACTGAGACACAATATATAATGATATGGCAAGCCCAATTTTTATAGCTGAAACTTTGAAGCAAATTACTCTATAAAATTTTACATGTAACACTAACAGATATTGAGTGATACAGGGGGGCCTTATAAGCAGAAGTTTTACCTAATCTTTAAATATTCAGCTATAATAATAAAGTGCATTAAGCAAGAGATAGGGAAATAAATTAATTTTCCAAATCAAACTAAAAAGTGTCAGAAATTAAAAACAATTAAAATGCCTATAAAATACATGCAAGTAACTGTGACTTCTGAAACTATACATCACTAAGTTGAAAGGATCCCACTATATGATCTGCTTGAATAGACAGAACCACCCAGAAACTGACAAAAAGGAAGAGAGTGACATCTGGGGAACTGTAAGTTACACAGGCCATAAAACTTGGAAGAGGTCATTTGAAAAAAAGAAAACAATAAATCTTTACTATCTGACAGCCACCTGGTCATTCTGAGACTTAAAAAACCTAACTTCAGGGCTTCCCTGGCAGCGCAATGGTTGAGAGTCCGCCTGCCAATGCAGGGGACATAGGTTCGTGCCCTGGTCCGGGAAGATCCCACATGCCGCAGAGCGGCTGAGCCTGTGAATCCAGAGCCTGTGCTCCACAATGGGAGAGGCCACAACAGTGAGAGGCCCGTGTACCGCAAAACAAAAAAACAAACAAACAAAAAACCTAACTTCAACATCATCACCTTTAAAACTGGGATAGTGTCTACCTATCTCATAGTGTTAATAGCCCCCTCACAGGTTATCATGAGGATGAAATGAGATTACACACAGTGATGGGCCATGGTTTGGGACACAGCTTATCTCCACAAACTAGCTGACAGTTAGAAAGCGAACTATACTTGCTTTCTGAATAAAAAATTTCAGGGAACAGTTATCAGATTTAAAAAATTGAAAAACATTTTAAAAGCATTTGGAGCCTCCTCCATTCTGCTGATATCTGGGGGTCCCAGCACTTACCACATCACTAGCACTGGAGAACTCGTTATTAACCAGACTTTCAAGAGCCATCCACCGAACTGGCCTGTTTTCGTTGTCTCCCAGACAATGATAGTCCATAGGGAACAAGTCTCTGGAGAGGGCATTGTCTGTGATCTTAACTTGAAGTGTGTCATCAATGCTGAAAAGTAGACATGAACATCAAATACAATTGAATACTGAAAAAATATGGACCACAATCACTCATAAATACAACACAGTTCCCACTGTTACTCCTGGAGAGAACCCAAATTCAGAGAACACTAAATATCAAATGACAGTGACAAGCTCATGGCACCTACACACAGTTCCTAGCAGCCAGGTCTTTGTGGATGACTTCCCTTCTGGCCAGATAGCTCATTCCACAGGCAATCTGAATAGCCATGTGGACCAGGTCTTGTTGAGAAATTGCCTGTGGTAACAGAAAATGACAATGCTTGCAGTTAGCACAAAAACTTTGATGGTACTTATTTTATTCCACAATCTTACTCCATCCCAAAATACACCTACACACTAAGTTTTAAAAAGCTACTTCTTGACCAAGAACATGTTCCCATAGCTTCCTGTACTTATACCTACTACAGTCCTTATCATTCTGTACTGTAATTTACCATTTACTTCACTCTCATCTGTTAGGTGTATCTCCCCAACATCCAGCATATACAGTAGCAGCTCAATAAACATCTGTTCAATGAATGCTGAATTCTAAGGGTAATATTTCAAATGTTTATTATTCAATAACTTGGTCTTTTCTTTTACAATATTAAGCTTTTATTAGGAGGCTATCCCCTAGGGACCATTTTCAAACTAATGCTAGTTTACAGCTCTCTCTGATGTGCTCCTCTAGAGCTAGTGTGCCAGGACTGTAGGTTGAGGAATGAAATTCTTCCCCAGGTGATGCTGGTGGGCTATGGCTGCCAACCACTTGCTAGAAACCCTGGCTACCAAATTATCACCCACAATCTACACCTCCAGCTACCACCAGCTTTTTTTTCTTTTTTGTTTTTGTACAACATGGACCAAATGGCTCTGTAAGGTCTATTTCCATTCCTAGAAGGGAGATCTAGTACAAGTACCTTCAAAGAGTTATGAGGAAAATGACTGAGATGGTGTCACAGAGGGTTTGAGGTGATTATGAATAATACACAATGGTTATACACGGAAAACCTTCAGCATCAGCAGAGTGTAAGCCTCAAGACAGGAATCACAAACAGTCTCCCTCTAAATCAACAGGTTAGCAATATCTTCTGGTTCGACCTTGAGTTTCTTTTTTACAGACTTCTAAACAGTTTATATATAGGAATGTTAACATCTACCTTCAAAGATATTATTAGAAGCTACTGGTAAATAATTGGTATGTGGGCAAATATTTCTCACCTGTGGATTATTGGCCTCTACTAATTTGCACTGCCGTAAAAACAATTTAAGATTCCCCCAATTCATGTAAGGCAATATCACCATGGGCTTTTCTCCTTCTTCTATACAGACATGGGTAATAGGTAGAAGATTTCTATAAAATAATTAAAAAACAGGAGAAACACAAGTGAAATCTGAAACTTCAGGGGGTTATTTTTAATAAAAAGTAATAAAATAAAGATAACCTAAAACAAAACAAGAAAATCTCAAACTTACTTAAAAACATATAACCATTAAAAATGTAAAATTATAAATGCTCTTTTAGACTAGACTTTAATGTTTTCCACATACCCACTTTCTTGATAGGGAAAAATTATAAACTCAGAAGTTGTTTCCTGTGGACTAGATTCTCTTAAGACACACTCTAGCCACACTAAATCTCTACTCGAATGGGTAATCAAAGGGACCTAAAAAATGACTTGATCATTAGCATATGATAACAGCCCATTTGGTTCATCATCACGCTTAAAAAAGGAAAAAAAAAAGGGCCCCAACGCAAGTCTGCAGAAAAGAATATGATAATCAAGAGCTTGAAACTGTCACAAAAAGCCAAGAAGTTCTTAGCAGGTCACATGGGATTTCCAAATCCTAAATTTACCATTTACTGTCTGTGTGACCATCTCTCTTGGCCTTAGTTTCCATACCTCTAACATGGGGATCCCACCAGCCATACAATGTTGCTGTGATATACAAATAAGGCCAAGCATGCAGTAAAAAAAAATCTTGTTCCTTTTAAAATCTCCATGGCACACATACTTTCATCCTATTGCCTAATGACACCTCTTCCATTGGTACCTGGAAATAACTGTTAATTTTTCCCAAGGCTATGTAACTTTTTACATAATTACCTCATTTCTCCCACTAAGCTGAAAATTCCTAGATGGCAAAAACTAAAGTGAACTCCTTTTTTACACCCAATGCTTTGTATTCTGTGCCACAGAAATAGGCATTTAATAAATATTTGGTAAGTAACACCAAACAACAACCTGAAAAACATTCCTCCTCCTTAACTTTGAAAATTCTGCCTCTAAGGATATTAATAAGGAAATATTATTAAACATATGAAAGTTATATGAACAAGGACAGTTAATGCAGTATTACTAGTAAAAGTTGCAAACAACAAGACTGTCCAAAAGTAAGGAAGTACAGCCAAATAATAGGATAGTATATAACAATTAAATGGTCACAAAGGGATGTTCCAAGAATCTGAGTAAAAGCTCACTTATAGGAAAGCAAGATACAAATTCACATATGTTTGAAGGATAATTACAAGTATGGGGGCAAATACAACTTTGCACAGAGTATATGCCAAGAGTTGTTGTTTTTGAGTTGTGAGACTTTAGATCATTTCTACCTTGCTTTTCTGTATTTCCTAAATTGTCTCAATTGGGCATGTATCGCTTTTAAAACCACAGTCACACAATTCTGGCCTAACAGTGCAGAAGTGAAAGCTGTGGGCCCCCCCGCTGCTGCTGTGCAGGAGTTACTAACAGGGAAAGCACTGACCCTGAGGAGCCGGGAAAATGAGGACTCACAGTAAACCTGTATGCGGCAACTTCTCTGTAAGGCTTCTGCTTGCCTTACAGCCCAAGAGTGGCAGTGATGATTAGTTCCACTTTACAGGCGAGGGAATCCATGAAGGGGGTAAGGGGTAAGGTAATCTGCCAAGGACAAACAGCCAGCACATAGAGGAAAAAATTCAAATCTTCATCTGATTCTAAAAACCTTGTGTTTTCCACTGGATCACTGGACATTCCCTCCCAGGGGAGCAAGACAGAGCCTCTTTTCACACCAAGTCCCACAAATACTAAAATGACTAGAGCAGGAGGATGGAGGGAGGGGAACTGGAGGAAGGCAGTCAAAGGTACAAACTTCCAATTATAAATAAGTACTAGGGATGTACTGTACAACCTGACGACTATAGCTAACACTGCTGTTGATATACAGGACAGTGGGTAAGAAAGTAAATCCTAAGAGCTCTCATCACAAGGAGAAAATTTTCTTTCTTCTTTCTTTCCCTTTTATTGTATCTATATGAGAAGATGGATGTTAGCTGAACCTACTATGGTAATCATTTCACAATATATGTAAATCATATCATCATGCTGTATGTTTTAAACTTATACAGTGAGGTATGTCAATTATTTCTCAATAAAAGTGGGAAAAAATGACTACAGCAGGTGTGCACTCAGATTTAACTGAACCTACCATGACTTCAGGAGTAATGTGAAGAGCTGCCCAATCTCTTTAACGCTCCCAAAATTATTTCTCTGCACCTTTCCTCATGACTGAAATTCACCAAGCAAAGTTAAAGGAATCTGACCCAAACACAGGAAGTTTGCTGGATGAGATCAAATCATTTATCCTATCACCAGAGGATTAAAAGCCCTCCAGAGAAGTAACAAGCTGCATGAAAATGTTTCAAAGAACAAATGGCTGCTCTTCATTCTGCCCAGTTTATAAAGGGAAGGAAGATAAAGAGGAAGATCTGGGATCTATAAGAAGAGTGGATGAGGCAGAAGCAGGTGCTATAGAGGAAAGGCAGGTTCTGCAGGGACTTGAGGCAAGAACTGGTCCAGTTCTCAGTCTTGCCGACCGTGCCTGCAGAGTGAGAGCCATGAGGCATTCAGCAAAGTGCCCATCATCAGGCACCCTTGGGCCAATGGAGAGTCAAACTACAAGCAGAAATAGCTTGAGTACTTTTTATAAAGCATGTCTGATGGAACTTAAATAGATCGACAGCTATCTTTTATTTATACAGCTATTTTAACTTATAATAAAAATTATTCTCAAAAATTCCAGTGGAAAAAGGAATGAAAAGAAAGAATTTCAAGATGCTTTAAAATATTTCAACACTTTAAAACTCTTAATCATGGAATGTTAAAACATGAAGTAAACATGATGAATTACATACAAAAACTAGTTTTTTAAAAAAGGTAAAATCAGAAACCAGGTGTCATTTCTTGCTGAGTGTATTGAGTTTGCCTGATAAATTAAAATTTTTTTTTTTTTTTTTTTTTTTTTTTTTTTTTTGCGGTACGCGCGCTTCTCACTGTTGTGGCCTCTCCTGTTGTGGAGCACAGGCTCCGGACGCTCAGCCTCAACGGCCACGGCTCACGGGACCAGCCGCTCCGCGGCATGTGGGATCTTCCCGGACCAGGGCACGAACCTGTGTTCCCTGCATCGGCAGGCGGACTCCCAACCACTGCGCCACCAGGGAAGCCCATTATTTCATTTTTAACCCTCATGCCTAGCAGTGTTCCAAGTGCAAAACGGGTACTTAATGAATGAGAACGTATGCATACACAGAGCCATGAACAGTCTAGACATCAGGGGTCAAAAGAAATGTGTTATAGGCCCTAGTCCCCTTAAAAATGAAATAAATTGCTACAGTGAGTAGAAAGAACCATATACTTTCTACATATTGACAATGTGTTTTGCTCATTAAAAACCAGGAGTCCTGGTATCACTTTATGATGAGGAAGAACAATTAACCAGGATCAAACCATAACTTGCCTTTAGAAGACATTCCCTAATTACTGAATGTACAGTAACAAATAACCCTAATTCAGTATAAGTCATCCCATTCCACCACCTAAGTGTATCCTAGAGCTACTAATTGATCCTAGTTGGATGCTGGAAAATCCTATAGCTTAAAGCTGCCTGAGAAAATGCTGCAAATGCTTGCTCTGAACATTTTTCAGCCAAAGCACCTTTGGGCTACTGTGGATATAAAACTGCTCCTTGAGAAAATCCTGGCTTTGTCTATATTTATCCCTGCCACCCACTTCTGTTGCTGATGTGGTACAGACCTTTCATCAAGGTAAGAATACTAGCTAAGTACCTAAGTACTAGGTTAACATTACATACTAGTATTAAACACTCTGGTTCTTCCCGCTAGGGTCAGCATAATAAATCAAGTACTCCGAACATTGTCAAAAAGGACATTCCCAATTGATCATTACCCAGTTCTTGCTTTGTTACTCAGAGGAAACAAAATGTGTTTTTGTTTTTTTTTTTTTTTAGAAAATATAGTCTAAAGGGTAAGTTATCTATCCATTCCTCTGCAAATGACTTCTATTCTTGGAATAAATCAGTGAATCAGGTCAATGGAAGGTAACATTCTTAAATCACATGACTTTAACCCTTCAAAAGGACATCTTTAGTCCCTCATTACTGTGTGGTCAATTTTTTTCAAAGGTCTCTGGCTTTTTTATTTTCAATGAAACTAAAAAGTATATCTGTTCATTATCTTAATCAATGTCCCAAGTATATGATAAAGCTAATGATATCTGTCCCAGAATGTGAAATCAGAAAAAGTTTTCTCCCCAAGAAACATGTACATTTCCTTCCCTTCTAATACTGAGATGTATCAAACTTTGTTTCCTTCAGCCTTGCTTGCCCAGAAGCTAAGAGTTGTTTTATGTTCAATCACAGTAAAAATAACTGTCTCTTTAACGTTGGCTTATTTGTCTTCTTTTCCACCATCACAATGCCAAAAAACTCAATTTCGTTTTCATTACCATTTTATTGATCTTACTATAGCTGCCTTCTTTTTAGGTTCTCAAATTCTTTTGACTATGAACCAAAGTATAAATAAAATTCAAAAATAAAGCTCTGCATAGTCATCTTATTTTTTGGCAGAACTCAAGTAACTGCTCAAAGTACACAGAAATTACAATGCATAATGCCTTTTGCACACATCACTTTCTTTTTTTTCCCAGAAGTCCATAAATACCTTCCAACAATGATGGTCACCATTCCATTTTTTTTTTTTTTTTTTTTTTTTTTTTTTATTTTCAAAATAATTTTACAATATAAATTATAAATGAACATTTAGCTAATTTATGGTATTTTATCCATATCAATTTTTACCTAAGTCATTGTGGGTATTTGGTTTTTTTAAATTATGTTGTAACTGTTATTTCTCTAAGAAAAATGTCCTTTGATCCCATTTTGTACATCTAAATTTGGGTTAGGAAAAGAATTGTGTGCAGATTTGATCTTCATTTTATTTTTTATTAATTACTTATCGAGATTATTTTTCTGAGTTAAAATGGCAGAGTAGTACAGACTTAAAATATTGAGATCAAAACTTTCTACTTCACATAATGAGACATCCAGAGCAGGGCCAGCAACAGTGGGAAACATGTGAATTTTCTTGAACGTGTCTGGAATAGCAGCCTGCTTCCACTGAACTAAGAATGAGTAATTTCTTCAGTAGCAAAAGTCACCACATTTGTCTGATTTTTAATTTCCAAATATTTCCTCATTTTTAAGGAACATCCAAATACTCTTAATCTGCCAACAATATGAGAGCAATGAGCTCTCTTACAAAACTCACATGATGCTATCATTTCTAACAGAAACTTTGTCTTAATTGTCTATGATTGTGTTACACCTTCTCCATAACGACGTTTTCCTTACCTAAAACATGGTGATTTCTGGGGCTATATCCACTGCTAACTGTCGAATGAGCTCTGAATTCTGCGGGACCAGGAAAAATGCAAAAGCAAGTCCATAGATTTCACCACTTAAGAGCAACTGGACATGGTTCATACTACAGTAAAATGCTTTGGAAACCTCTGCCCTACCTTCTGAACACCTTCTAGCAAGCACAATGCTGCCTATGACTTTTGTTCTCTCAATTATTCGTCACTGCAAAACTTCTTGAATGTATTTCTTGTCTTTGAGACATAACAAGAGACTATAATGTTTCTCTAGGATGAAGAAATTGGTAGCATGATGGATGAAACTTTAGGAACATTACACTAGCTGGTTGTTTAAGCTTTTTTTTTTTTTTTTTTTTTTTTTTATT